TCATAACAATCTGATTAAAATAAGATTTTTCACTTTGATAGGTTGTACTTGTTTTATAAACACTAAAAGGGATTTATAATTAACGTTGATTATGGAATATGAAGGATCGTAAGTATTTTATCCATCTTACCTTGCTACATGCATATGTGACAAATTGACACCTACATATTGAATACCTACTATATGCCCTTGGTGACCCGACAACACAGATAGCATGGAAAATTAAATACGTGAAATTAAATACAGTTCTTTCCGAATTATGTTGATTTCATAACAATCTGATTTAAATAAGATTTTTCACTTTGATAGGTTGTTTTTTAGCGGCAAGTAAGATACGAAGATATCCCATAAGTAGTCATATGTAGATGACCTTTTAAGCATTCTATAATCAACTAATTATTTCGAGTGATACGCTGATGCTTTGATTTTAAATACTTCCCCGCAAACACAGATTTACATAACTGAATTAAAATGTCAACGTTCTGTTGGTTAAATGTCATATCAACCCTCGATTCGTAACATAAAAAAAAAAAATAAAACAATGAAACTTTTCTGTTTACAATCATGTTGGTGCATATTATTTCAGGACTATAATCGGAAATATTTTGCAGCTTTTCAGACAATATTTTTTATCGCCAATAGTAAAAATATCGAAATTTTAAATGCTAAGATTTGATTGGATAAAATCCGATACAAACAAATCTAACGGGGCAAAGTGAAAAATCTGATTTTAATCAGATTGTTTCATTCTTGACATTTTTGATTATACATTTGAAATGAAAAATAATGGTAAATCAAAAATCATACGCGAAATAAGTCAGACACCGCTGTTGTGAAAGTAAAAAATACAGGAAGAAAATGACAACAAAATCTCGATCATTACATTCAGGATTCACGAACCATATGATAAAAGAGAGGCAAAAGATACCACAGGGATATTCAAACGCATAAATCGAAAACAAATTGACAATTCCATGATAAAAAGCTAAAAACGAAGCAATGCACAAAACACAACATTGGATCTAAAACTGAGCAACACGAACCCCATAAAAACAGGGGTGATTTCAGGTGCTTCAGAAGGGTAAGCAAATGCTGTTCCACATGTCGCTCCCACCGTGTAGCTCATGTAACAATAAACCCGGTGATCTACATGTATAATAAACTAGAAGTGTGAACTCAGGAGCTTGGGAAGTGCAAGCAATTCCTCCTCAATCATTGACACATGTCTTGTTGCTAATGAAAAGCACAAATCTTGTGATCAATTCCTGCACCATCAGTGACACACGTCTTGTTGGTCAATCTGGTGATCAATTCCTGCTCCATCAGTGACACATTTCTTGTTGCTCAATCTGGTGATCAATTCCTGCTCCATCAGTGACACATGTCTTGTTGCTCAATATTGTGATCAATTCCTGCTCCATCAGTGACACACGTCTTGTTGCTCAATCTGGTGATCAACTCCTGCTCCATCAGTGACACACGTCTTGTTGCTCATGACAAGTACAAATCTGGTGATCAATTCCTGATTTATCAGTGACACACGTCTTGTTACTCAATCTGGTGATCAATTTCTGCTCCATCAGCAACACACGTCTTGTTGCTCATAACAAATACAATTCTGCTGATCAATTCCTGCTCCATCAGTGATACACGTCTTGTTGCTCAAGAGAAGTACAAATCTAGTGATCAATTCCTGTACCATCAGTGACACACGTCTTGTTACTTAATCTGGTGATCAATTCCTGCTCCATCAGCGACACACGTCTTGTTGCTCATAACAAATACAAATCTGGTGATCAATTCCTGCTCCATCAGTGATACACGTCTTGTTGCTCAATCATTCATCAATCATCAATCAAACCTGCACAATCGGCTGAATAACAATATGCTTAGCTTTCAGCATTATGCTTTGTTCATGTATCCCTTTAAGTTACTTATTATATATCTATGTAAATATCGAATAAAAACAAGTTATGTATCATGAATATAAGTAAACATAAAATAATTCACAATTGTAGACGTCATACTTTTTCGGAATAAAATATAAATGTTCACAACTTTCGTTACGATGATAATGAACTTATGTTTACTTTACACAGTATATGTGTATCTTTGGTATTTAACGTTTTTGCAACTGTATTTAATCTTTATCTTTCTTCAATTCAGTGTTTTTTCTTAGAGGTGAGAACGAAAAATGCATACACGTATTTTAATACTGTCAGACGGTGGAACACTTTTGAGTATTTGATTTTGAAATATGCAGAATTCATTAAAGGGTTGATGCATATTTAAAAAAAAAGGATAGTCTTAGATGCATGATTTTTGTATAAGTTGTTATTGACTTTGAACTAGCGGTCAGTAACTGCGAGTACTCTCAGATCTGTACTAAGTGTCTTTTTTATTGTGGGGGTGTATAAGTACCGTGCAACGTTTCTGCTTTGTATCGATCTGATGAGTTAAGCCCTTTTCAACTGATTTTTATAGTTTGTTCTTATGTTGTACTGTTACACCACTGTCCAAGGTTAGGGAAGGATTGGCGCCTTCAAACTATTTTAACCCCGCCACATTCTGTATGTGCCTGTCCCAAGCCAGGAGCCTGTAATTCAGTGATGGTCGTTTGTTGCTATATATCATATTTGTCTTTCGTTCATTATTTTGTACGTAAATCAGGCTATTAGTTTTCTCGTCTGAATTGTTTTACATTTGTCATTTCGGGGCCTTTAATAGCTGACTATGCAGTATGGGTTTTGCTGATTGTTCAAGGCCGTACGGTGACCTTTAGTTGTTAATTTCTATGTCATTTGGTCTCTTGTGGAAAGTTGTCTCATTGGCAATCATACCACATCTTCCTATTTTTATATAGCTTGCACCTTACATTTGAGCATGCGCTATGCAGATTTATTCATAATAATAAAGGAAAACACCCTGATCAGATTACTGTTGAATTCGAAAACAGAACATGTTATTAAGAATGTTCGCTCCTCTTGTTTTTGAATTTTTGCAGATATTCGGAATCCTCTGGTTTTATCCATGTAGTGCTATTAATACATTTTGCCTACAAAGCCCTACTTTTCTTTTAATATTTTAATAATGTATAGTTTTAAAAGCAATTTTTGAAAATCTTTAAAAATCCTTGTTTTTTTTTAGTGTTTGAAAGAGAAAAGGTGCAAATGTTAAATGTATGAAAAATCTAGAGAGAATCACTTCCCGCCAAATTTTTAATGGCTTATATCTTGAAAACAAGCACACGGACCCTTCATTTTTTTCTGCTTTGTTAATTCCTTTTTTCATATACTTTCAATTTATAACAGTTTTTTTTAAAAAGCTTGTTATTTTGAAACAGAGTAGCGAACATCCCTAAGCTATATATATAATAACACCCCTTAAATGTTTATATAGGTTGTCAGATATCAGCATTTATATTATTGAAATTGTTTGATTGTATTGTCTTAGACTCTATTGAGTTTCAACTTGTTTTATGATCAACTGGAAAAAGTGTCAAAAAATGGACAAAGTTTTTTTTTTGTTATGGCATAACAGTTTGTACGTCACACGCGCGTTTCGTCTACAAAAGGCTCATCAGTGACGCTCGAAACAGAACAGTTTAAAAAAGGGCAATTAAAGTTCGAAGTTGAACAGCATTGAGGACCCAAAATTTCGAAATGTTTGCCAAAAACAGTTAAGGTAATCTACTTATTGTCCGTTATTACAGCGGGTTATTATCCAGTATGTTTTGAGTAATTCTATATATTTTATCTATCTTGTACAAAACAATCCTTAAATTGTAATTGTAGCCTGCAATTATAATCAATGTAAATGTGATTTTAGGTAAATTTTCCATGAACTGATATGTAAAATATCAATGTCGACATATCTTTGACGACATAGTGACAACACAACTGATATTCTTGCATTGACGTGTCTAGAATATATGATACTATTAATTGATAAGCAATATTCATTTATAAGTAGTGAATGAAGACTTGAAGTCATTTTGTATTCTATTCCTGAACCACCCAGCAGCCGGCATCAGGGGCGGATCAAGCAATTTGTCTGGGGGAGGTCACCTTACGAAAGCTTGTAAAAAATCAGTTTTGTTTTATTGAAATTAATGTCATGAAAATAGTAACAACTATAAAGCACATGGTTAAACAGGACTTATAAAATTGATTCCAATTTCATTTTTCGTGGATCCTGCGTGCAAATGTGTCAACGATCACATCAAGTTCTAAAAGCAAATTATAAAGCACGTGCATCAGTGCATCAATAAAAGTTTGTATATTGACTGTCTTTTTCTCAACATTGTCAAGGAAAAGCAGTGCATTGGCTCTTGCCTCAGCGTTGCTCTATTTACAAGGTTTGTTATCCCGGCCGAAATGTTTGTTTAGTCTAGTTCAAGCATGTGCAATATTAGTAAATGGTTTGTGTGCTAAGGATCCCAAATTGTCAACCCAAACAGAGCACAGTATTTACAAATAAGCTCCTTCTTTTGAAGGAGAGTACACAAGCCCGTCATATCGAATCAGTCAATTTCTCAGTAAAATCAAGAGTTTGTTAATAAGACTCAAAACGAATAAAAAATATTTGAATTTTGGCATCACTGTAGATTTCATGTACCATTAAAAGTCGAGGAAAGTTGTAATACAAAAAACCATCTAAGATTGAGGAATGTCCCTTCATTTTCACACCAACACATCAAAGGAATCGAAGAAGTAATTAACGATCGCTGATTACATGTTCTTCGTAAAAACATACATGTCAAGGTACATGTAAATCGCTTAAAGGTAAGTAATGAACCTTGATTACCAGTGATAGACCGATTGATATTTCAATCAAAATTTTGTACATGGTGCACCATTTTTTGCCAACCACAGAAGGGGGGGGGGGATGATTACGTGCACCGGGTGACCACCCCCTGGATTCGCCTCTGGGCATTATTTTGATCCTTTTAATCATTTTTTTACAGATAAGATAAGATTTATTTATTTTATTAGATAAGATAAGATAAGATTTATTTTATTAAAGTGTCAACATCCATTACAGTATCTATATATATACACATAAAGTCATAAGAACCTAACATTTAGTAAAAGGATGCCAGCCGAAAACGACTTATGAGACACTATCATTAAAACAAACATCTAATACATACTTAAAAGGACAACTTTGTTACATTTAAAAAGTATTTCGTAAATTAAAAAAAAAAAAAAAATAAAAAACATATATAATTTCTAGATGACATGTTTACGTCGGTAAAAGATATAATAAAGGGAACTAGCTAAAAGCAAAAATTAAGTAATATTTGTACTAACAGAAAGTCACTTTGAACAACGTGACATTTACTTGAACCAAAAATCTATTTGCTGTTTCCCACGCTCACAAATTGAACATGAAAGTTTGACTTTTAAAGTATATAGCAGTTAAACAATAATTGCCTTTTAAATATTTTTCACAGAAAACTATATGAAATCAAATAAACTGCATTTTTCTATTACAATAATCGCTCTCCCTATGAAAAGGAGATTGTTCCACCAATCTAAATTTACTAACACCAAGAAATAACCAACAATAGTAAAACAATATTTTTTTTGTCTTGTTTCTATTTTTTTTCATATATGATACAATAAAATACACAATGAAAAATAAAACATATATAGTACAATTAAATATATATATATATATAACGATTTTCCCTTTCATGACGAAACAAGGGACATAATTTTCCTCAATGAACGGAGGTAGTGGGTCATACCACATTAAATTTCTTGTATAATTTATACATGTATCACAATGGCATCGAGCTATTACATTTAATTTGTGCTCGTGCAAGTCTTTTGCGTTTATACGCGCACTTGAATCTATGGTAGGCAATTTGTGGATTATCTAATAATGAAGGGGAGTCTACCTTGAATGGCCCAATCGTTTGCAATATTGTAAAAAAAATTTAATTTAATAAACGATGAATTAATGTTAAATATAATTCAGCATTATAAATTGACAGAATTTCCATATTTAACGAAAGTAGCTATTTATTTGTCTAAGATATGATCTTTGTAATTTTTCAAAATAATCGATATATAAAGTAACAAATGGGGGTAAATCGTTTGGAATATCTAATTCTTGATTTATTTACAATAGTATTTAAACAGGAAGATTGAAGACTTGAATAGTTAAATGGAACAAAACCGTAAGATATTAAAGAATCAGTGGCTTCTAAATAATCTATGTCGTCATGGTTGTTTAGTAATTTATACCAGATTTGGGACGGCGAAAAGGTGTTTATGTCCTTTAGTTCTGGAAAATCTGAGGAAATAGAAAAGAAAAATATTAGTATAAGGTAGAAGGGTATACATCCATTACACTATCTATATATATATACACATAAAGTCATAAGAACCTAACATTTAGTAAAAGGATGCCAGCCGAAAACGACTTATGAGACACTATCATTAAAACAAACATCTAATACATACTTAAAAGGACAACTTTGTTACATTTAAAAAGTATTTCGTAAATAAAAAAAAAAAAAAAAAATAAAAAACATATATAATTTCTAGATGACATGTTTACGTCGGTAAAAGATATAATAAAGGGAACTAGCTAAAAGAGGAACCATATTCTCATTACACATCAGATAACAAAGTTTTTTCAATATCGCATAAATACTCAAAATCAACATTTAAAAGACAGGCTTTGGCATATAATTCATGTCTGATATCAGAGTAAAAACAACAATTAAAAAGAAAGTGTTTTTCATCTTCAATTTGGCCACTATCACAAAAAATAAATAAACGGTCTTGTAGAGGTTCTGGTGGTCTAGCATATTGACCTGTTTCAACTTTAAGTTGTAACGAACCAGCTCTGAAAAGTGACAAAATACAAAATTATTAACTACCTTTACATAAGGCTCCGTACCAATACAAGTTTTAAACAATCTATAAAATCTTAATTTATTACCATTGACATTATTTTTATCATTCCATACTTCATGATGCCAAGATTCTTTTTCAAAAGTTTGTATAGGATCCCATACATTACTCATATTAATTTCATCTTCTACATTTTGAATCAAACTATATTTAAGAGCTAACTGTAAAACTCTATAATTCCATGACGATTTTCCTCTAATCGCCCAGGTATGAACCTTTTTACATATATTACTGATATTGTCACATTTAAGACGATTCTATAGTTTAAAAACGTCAACTTTTAGTAGTGCATCACCTGATAAAAAACCCATATCACCTCTAGCAGCTAGATTGCTGCTTCTCTTGCTTAAGCCTAAGAAAAATTTACAAGCATTGTTTTGCAAACTATTTATACAATTATGTATATTAATGCCCCATACACCGGAAGCATATGTAAAAATGGGTTTGACCAAAGTGTCATATAATTTAGTAAATACATCAAAATTCATACCACCATCTTACAAAGAGCCAAAATCTAACGCAAGAGAACGCGTTTTATCTAATTTGTACAAAGCAATCCTAAAACTGTAATTGTAGCAATTACAACTAATACAGACGTTATCCAAAACAATACAAAATCAAATGATGAAATAACATCACCCCACGTCATCCCTTGTTCACTTTCTGTTTCATTTTGATGCTTTGATGTAATTTTCTTTACATTCCGGAATTTCATTAGCTTGATTATGTTCTTTGGAACACCGTCTTTACGATGATGAAATCGAAGTTCTATAGTCGTACAGCACACAACAAAAGTTCCCATACCTAGCTGGAACATTAAATAATATCCCAATATTGATCCAGATGTTTTGGGAAGCTCGGAATTGACAATTGTAAGGAAAACGGCAAACGAAAGAAACACCGTTATGCAATACCCCATTTTCGCAGAACTGTCAGCTGGAAGTGCAAAAGTAAACACATTCAATACACTCAGTAAAATGATTGGAATGATGATATTCCACAAATAATAAGTCGGATTTCTTTTCAAGTTGAGTGTAAATATAACCCTAGATTCGAATGACATAACGTCCTCTCGTGCGGCTGTTGATACTACTGACCATTCTGCATTATTCTCAAAGCTATCTAGAACGATTCCATTATTCCACAGAGTAACAATCACATCTGTAACGCTACTTGACCACACAACAAAAATTATGTCGCATGATTGTCGGTCATAGGGAAAATATGTAATATCTATTTTACATTTTGATTCAAAAACTTCAAACGGCATCCACGCTACTTGTCCGTTACTTTCAACCTTGGCTTTTATAAAACTGCTTCCAAGTTCCTGCAATTTTGTAAATCCATTTTGTAATGTTATATCAGGTATCCAAATATCTGCTTGTGGAACGTAAAAATAATATAATCCACCAAAGTCTGCAGATGTCCAATTCAAATACTCATCTATCCATCCAATATTTAAATACCCGGTTGTTATCAATCTCTGTTTTAGTTCGTCCAATTCATTTATTCCAACAAGATGAAAATCTAAATCTAAATTCATAGGGTGATGCTGATCCCGATTTGGTCGGACTTGCTTTTTATAATCATTTGTTGTAAATAATTGTTTGATTAGATTTTTAACATCCTCCCCACTCTGTCCTTCGATATTTACAAACAATATTAGGAAAACGAAATACCACAAGCTACACATTTTACCACTCTACATTTAGATCCACATTTTTAAATGAATATTCGTCGACTTGCATCTTAATGTCAATACATTAAATAAGATATAGTTGTAATCAAACACGTACTTGTTGCATGTATATCCAATGTACATGTACCACTAATCGCTAACAAAATTTAAAATGTCTGCGTATTTATTACATAATAATTGTTTGGAACTTTTTTATTTCAAATACATTTAATTAGAAATGGTTGTAATCAAACACGTATTTGCTGCATTTGATGATGTATATCTAATGTATATGTACCACTAATTGCTCACAAAACTTAAAATGCCTGCGTATTTATTACATAATAATTGTTTATTTTTTTTTTTAATTTCAAATACACTTAACTATAAAGTCAAAACAATGACAATAAAAAGAAATGCATATAAAGTATTAGTTTTGTAGATCCATTTTTTGCAAACAGTCTATAATGTAAACTTTAATATTTCTATGTTAACAAACCCAAAGCGCATTGTGCCATCGCTGTAAATGAAGATGTCTGATGATTTGCATGATCGATTGTGAATGGAAGAGTTAAAATATTAAAATAGATATATTGTGTTGTATTTTGTGTTGATATTATGGTATGTAAAACCCGACAATTGTAATGCCCTTTTGGCACAATCTAGGGAGAGGCTCATGGTAGGAGGCCGGAACAACAACGGAAAAGAAAACCAAACTAAAATATCAAGAAACTCGCTATTAATGTTATAGCGGATTGATTGCTTTATATACTAATTTCTGCGTGTCATAGTGAGCCTTATCTATTTTTCTTAATCTGTAATTTCTAACCAAATTAAATAAGAATGCCTAAATATAGTTGACCATTTTGACCATTGTCCATAGTCTATGACATGATTTGTCAACTTTTATCAAACAAAAATTAAGTAATATTTGTACTAACAGAAAGTCACTTTGAACAACGTGACATTTACTTGAACCAAAAATCTATTTGCTGTTTCCCACGCTCACAAATTGAACATGAAAGTTTGACTTTTAAAGTATATAGCAGTTAAACAATAATTGCCTTTTAAATATTTTTCACAGAAGACTTTACATGTATTGATTAGTAAACTATATGAAATCAAATAAACTGCATTTTTCTATTACAATAATCGCTCTCCCTATGAAAAGGAGATTGTTCCACCAATCTAAATTTACTAACACCAAGAAATAACCAACAATAGTAAAACAATATTTTTTTTGTCTTGCTTCTATTTTTTTTCATATATGATACAATAAAATACAAAATGAAAAAAAAATATATATAGTACAACTAAATTTATATATATATATAACGATTTTCCCTTTCATGACGAAACAAGGGACATAATTTTCCTCAATGAACGGAGGTAGTGGGTCATACCACATTAAATTTCTTGTATAATTTATACATGTATCACAATGGCATCGAGCTATTACATTTAATTTGTGCTCGTGCAAGTCTTTCGCGTTTATACGCGCACTTGAATCTATGGTAGGCAATTTGTTGATTATCTAATAATGAAGGAGGAGTCTACCTTGAATGGCCCAATCTTTTGCAATATTGTAAAAAAAAATTAATTTAATAAACGATGAATAAATGGTAAATATAATTCAGCATTATAAATTGACAGAATTTCCATATTTAACGAAAGTAGCTATTTATTTGTCTAAGATATGATCTTTGTAATTTTTCAAAATAATCGATATATAAAGTAATAAATGGGGGTAAATCGTTTGGAATATCTAATTCTTGAGTTTTTTACAATATTATTTAAACAGGAAGATTGAAGACTTGAATATTTAAATGGATCAAAACCGTAAGATATTAAAGAATCAGTGGCTTCTAAATAATCTATGTCGTCATGGTTCTTTAGTAATTTATACCAGATTTGGGACGGCGAAAAGGTGTTTATGTCCTTTAGTTCTGGAAAATCTGAGGAAATAGAAAAGAAAAATATTAGTATAAGGTAGAAGGGTATACAATAGTTTTGCGGTTGTTTGTTTGACCTGGGGTATCAATATTTGTCGCTAATATATTGTCATTATCAATTGGACATTTAATGTTATGATGAAGAAATATGACATAAACAGAGAAAGGGTTTTTAAGTAAGAAAAATGTTCAGATCGATAATTTCAGGTACGTAAATGGATTGGGAAGTATTTTTATTTCGAACTGTAAAATTTGGATATGAAATGTGTAATTTAGGCCTGAAGTAATTTACAACAGTTAAATTATTAATAATGTTTGGATATTGAACATCCCAGTATGTTGGACATAAAGGCATTGCAAAAATTGGAATACAAACACAATCGCAACCTGTTGTTATTTCTAAGCATACTTTAGTATTCATATTTGTTCTTTTGAAGGATTTAACTACCAAAATAATGGTCATTAAAAAGAAAATAAAAGCTAATGCAAAAAAAGCATGATCCCAAGTTATATTGGAATTTAATACATTGATCCATGTAGTAGGTGCTTGAGTTGTGGAAGGTTCAAATTTAAAATTTGGTAGTGTAGTAGCAGATATTTGGACAGGTTGATATATAGCTATTGCGATAATTTTGAATTTATAAAATAACCAGATAAGAACAATTGTGTTTAGAGAAGTAATAATAATTGCAACCAATGATAATATATCATTCGTCGTAGGCCATTTTTCGACGTTTAGATCAATTTGCCAATTTACCATAGAATCAGCTAAAGTGGAATATATAATATTATGTGTCTTGACTCTTGTGACCAATTTTTTTAAATTGAGGTGATATTTTTCATCTTTAGCAAAAATATGATTCATTTTATGTTGTATATCGTGAAATTTGGTAAGGAAATAGAAACTGGATCAGTGAAAGTCGTGGTAGCAAGGATGTTTTCAATTTTTGTATCATCAAAGAAGCGTTGTAAAATTGCTAAATTGACTGGATGGAGTTTCGTAAAATCATGTGTTCCATTTTCACAAAGTGATAATTTTGTTGCAAAGTGTGAAATTTTAGAAAGTAAAATACAGTGACAAGGGATCTTGAAAATACAAAAAGAACAACCTGATACCGTTATATTTTTATCATTACACATTAAATGTAAATTATTATATTGATAAATTAGAACTGAATTGTCTGATATTTGCTCAATACATGTATGTGGTGAAATGGAATTAGGCAAAAATTTTAAATCACAAAAGTTTTTAATTTTCTGTTTGTCATTATTGAAAATATGAAAAGCACATTCTATAGTATTCGATGATTGAAATAAAGGATTAAAATTACAATGCTTTGGGTTATACCTTGGCACAAATTCATTTGTTCAAAGGTAAGAGTTGTGAAAAATTTACGATCATGCGTGATCAGCATATATTTAGGTACATTAAAAAGTTGAGTTGCATGGGAAGTATTAGTAGTAATTTGAACAGGAAAAAAATTTATTTTATATACTTCAAATAGTTTGCCATGAGTTGTTAAAGGAAATTGAACAGCTTAATACAATTTTGCATTGTTTTGTAGAACAATATATTTAGCGTAATTATAATAATAATGTGGATTTGAAGTTAAAATTTTGTATCCAGTGTAGTTAGCATTTAAAATGTTTTGAATATCCAATACAGTTTGTTGAATTACTTTTGGTTTTAGAAGAAGAGGAGATAATTTTCCTTCTACTAAATTAAAAATGGCTGCTTTCAAATCCATTATATAATTCTGAAGAGTATTAGCATCTTGAGTTTGATCTGTTAGAATTTGAAAATAGTCTGTATAATGGTCTTCTAGGTTTTTATAATCTCTCTGAATAAGGGCATTTAAAAAGGATAAAGCCTGATAATTTCTTTCAATACCTTGCATTGAATTGTCAAGTCTTTTCTCTGTTTGTGAAAAAAAAGACGTTAAACAACCTCCATATTGTTTTAAAGCATTTGAAATTTTATTGTTTTCAGATGTTAAGGTATTTATATGGGTAACTATTTTTTTCATGGATTTTTCGGTTACAAAACCGAACAATTCCCCCACAATGCTTCCTACGAATGGAATTATTGCTCTCTTTGATTTGCCAAGATAAGTGATATTTAATCTCTGTACCAATTTGTCTATTAATGACTTTGTGTCTTGAATTTGTGCATTCATATATTCTTTCATATAATTTAATTGTGAAACAATTTTGTTATACGATTGACATTGACGACCTGCTTGTTTTGGGCATTTAGTGACCAATTTATGTTGTATATTCAAATACATTGGGATTTCATAAATATGTGTCCAGTAATCTGTAGCGAAGTCAATATTAGGTTGACTTTGATGTATAATTCCAAAATTAATTCTCTGTACATCTGCGTTTGACGTTGACAAAAGTAAGGCAAAAAGCAAAATTGGCAAAGTCACCAATCCAAATCTTGACATGCCTACAATATAAAAAAAAAGGGAATTAGTTTGATTTCTGGTGATCAAAAGATTGGGGATAAATTTTTCCAGTGGTCTAAATAAAGGACAATTTAGATATAGGTAGCCAAGTGGATTAATGTGATTGTCAATTGCATTCTACTTTTGTGAAATAGTTAAATATTTATTAACGTCTTCTTTTTAATCTTTTGCGAGCTTTTTCTGAATGAAATGCTATCTTTAAAGGTTCACTAACATTTTCTTGCGGTTCCCATGTTGGGTTTGAATTATCTTTCCATTGAACTAAATAATATTTCTTTCCTGATATCCATTTTAATTTTAATAATTTAATAGCCTCATACCATTCATTATTTTTGTTTTGACTTTGATTTGATGTTGATTCGTCAACATCACTTTGAGAGTTGTATTCTTGATTTTCTGTTTGATTTAAATCTCCATTTACATTATCAGGATTTGGTTAATTTATATTACCAGGCTCATTATTTAAAGCGTCGTTATCTTTTAAAAAATTTGGAGGTGGCCTGAAATCATTTGGATCTTTATAAGCTTTAAGTATGTTTGCATGAATGAATGATTTAACTGGCCTAAGGGTTTTTAAATTAAGTGGCTTGTAAATTAAATCATGTCGATTTTCTAGTATAGAAAATGGTCCAGTCCACTTAGGTTCTAATTTCTTTTTCTTTCCTATTTGTACTTTTTCTTGTTTAAGTAAAACATGATCACCTACCTTAAAATTTGGTATTTTAGTAGCTTTATCATAATATGTTTTGCTTTTAAGTTTAGCATCTTCCAAATTTGTTCAAGCAAGATCATGAATAATTTTAACTCTATTGATTAATTGATCTATATATTTTTCTGGAGATTGAGTAATTAATTCTTCAGGAATTAAGGCTGTATCTATCGGTAAAGGCATTTCTCTTCCAAATATCATATAGTAAGGTGAAAAGCATGTAGATTGAGTACAAGGACTCATTCTAAATGCCATCATAATACTCGGTAAAACTTGCGGCCAATTTGTTTGTTGTTCAGAGCAATACGCTCTTAAAGATTGAGCTAAAGTAGAATTTGTTCTTTCGCATGCTACATTACTTTGCGGATGGTATGAACTAGTGAAATGTTGTGTAACATTAAACATTTTGCATAAAAGACCGACAAGCTTGCTTAAATTACTTGCATGTCTGTCAGATACCAAATATCGACATACTCTATATCTAGTAAAAATTTCAGAATATAAAATGTTTGCAATTTCTTCAGCTTCTTTAGTTTTCATTGGAAAACTTTCGCACCAATGCGAGAAAGAATCTGTCAGTAACAAAATATATTTGTATTTTTCTTTTGAAGTTGGTAATCCGCCTAAAACATCCATGTGAAGACGAACAAAAGGTCCTTGGATTGGCAATGATTTTAAAGGTGCTTTTTTAGCAGTACTGTCTTTTTCACAGTTTGGAAAATTTGACAACTAGTGACATAATCATAAACATTTTGATACATTTTTGGCCAAAAGTATCTTTGTTTAATAGCTTCATAAGTTCTTTGAACACCTAAATGTGAACCACCTGCTTTTTGATCATGAAATGATAATAAAATATCATTGCGTAATGGTTGTGGAATCGCTACTTGTTTTATCAATTGATGTTTTGGTGTCCTTGTTTTCGTTCTGGGTTAAAAGAAATGATACAAAGAATCATTTAGAAGTTCATATTGACTAGTTTCATATGGTATAGCTTGTGCTCTTTTCTTATCATCTGGTAAAGTACCGTTTTGTAAGAAGGTGATTATTGGTCCAAAATATGGGCATTGTTTTTGTAAAGATGAAATATCTTGTAAGGAAAAGATTGGAACTTCTTTTACAGAATTTGTAATTTGTTCTAGAGTTTCCCCTGGATAAATGAAAGTAACTTCGGTTAAAACTTTGGTTTGTTCCGACTGTTTTTCATAATTGCGTCTGGAAAGCGCATCGCAGTGTTGATTTCGAGATCCCAAACGATGTATAACGTCAAATTTGTATTCTTGTAGTTTTAACCCCCACCTTATTAATCTTGAATTTGTGTGTTTAATAGTTTGTTACCATGTCAAAGCTTTATGGTCTGTGTAAAAAGTAAATTTGTTAGTAGCAAGATACACGCGAAAATACGCGACTGCTGATACTAATGATAACATTTCTTGTTCTGTAACCGTGTATTTTTTTTCTGCCGGCGTTAAAGCTCTACCACCGTAACCGTAACCACTTGTGATAAAATATAACTTATTGCGGAACCAGAAGCGTCACAAGATACAATAAATGGTTTATTGAAATTTGGGAAATTTAAAACTGGAGTTGATGTTAAGGCTTCCTTTAATGTATCAAAAGCGTTTTGACAATCTGTGGGCCATTTAAAAGGAGTATCTTTAGTAAGAAGTCTATTCAGAGGTTATGCAATTTTGGCATAACCCTTAACAAATTTTCTATAATAATTGCATAGACCTAAAAAACTGCGGACATCATGTTGACTGTTTGGAATAGGAAAAGTGTCAACAGCTTTTGTTTTAGAAGTGTCGACTTTAATACCTTCTTTAGAAATGATGTGTCCTAAGTAAAGAATTTCTGATTGAGCAAAATCACATTTGTTAGGTCTTAATTTTAAATTTGCCTGTTTTAA